AGGAGGAAGGGAAATAGAGAGAGGAGAGAGGAGAAGGAAAGAGCTGAGAGCGGATGGAGAGCGAGAGCGAGAGGGAAGAGCGAGAGGGGAAAGAAGCGAGAAAGGCGAGAGCGAGAGCGAGAGGGAAAGAGCGAGAGCGAGAGCGAGAGGGAAAGAGCGAGAGCGAGAGGGAAAGAGAGAGCGAGAGGCGAGAGAGAGCGAGAGCGAGAGCGAGAGGGAAAGAGCGAGAGCGAGAGGGAAAGAGCGAGAGCGAGAGCGAGAGGGAAAGAGCGAGAGCGAGAGCGAGAGGGAAAGAGCGAGAGCGAGAGGGAAAGAGCGAGAACGAGAGGGAAAGAGCGAGAGCGAGAGGGAAAGAGCGAGAGCGAGAAGGAAAGAGCGAGAGCGAGAGGGAAAGAGCGAGAGCGAGAGAGAAAGCGAGAGAGAAAGAACGAGAGCGAGATAGAAAGAGCTAGAGCGAGGGAGAGAGCGAGTGCGAGAGAAAGAGAGAGCGCAGGAAACCTGGGGAATAGTATTTGGTGAGAGATGCTTATCCTACATTGGAGCTTGATTCTGAAAAGCCGAAAGGGAGAGGGAGAAAGTGTGGCCGAGGGGCGTGTCAGGGCTAGAGGAGAGCGCTCGAAGAGACGCGAGGTTAGAAAGGCTGCCAAGCTCCAGGTTGTAATATGAGCGCGAGTTGTGTTACCATTGTCTCCCACTCTTTTTCTCTCCCTCCCCCGTTTATCAGCCACCCCCACTCCGTGGGATAAGCATGTTTCTCATTTGGAATTCGCTGCCTTGCCTTCAGGGAGCAGTGTTGCCCGAACCTGTGTTCGCGCGACCAATGACATTTGCTATTGCAGTATATATTCACACATCGCTTGCACAACACAACAGCTGTTGTCAGTTATTGTAGAGAAATCCGGTACATCTGTGTGTGTGTGTGTGTGTGTGTGTGTGTGTGTGTGTGTGTGTGTGTGTGTGTGTGTGTGTGTGTGTGTGTGTGTGTGTGTGTGTGTGTGTGAGAGAAGTATCCCAGTATATATAGCAGGGCTTGATATTGTTGTCTTATTCTTTGTCTTTCTACATTGACCAGAATCGGCATGCTCATACGGTCACTGATTATGGATGGGCGTATGGACAAGCCCAGATAGATAAAAACACGCGCAGGTACAAATGGGCGTCTTCTCGTGCGATTCCCGCCTGCAACCCACCGCTTGCCCGGCGAGGTGTGCGTTGGAAGGGAGTGGCCTGGCAAGCGAGTCTCCGCCGCCTCTGCTTTCGGAAGTTCTGATGAACCGAGCAACACATTAGGCTGTCGCTGGCACGAGGCAGCAGGTGGACGAGAACAATTTATACTTCTGTTTTATATGTTTTTGTTTTTATTTGTCATAGCGTACAGGTCTGTAGTTCGCTGCTGTAATATCAGTTAGTGTATGAAAGGGAATGGAATGGGATGGGATGGAGTGGAATGCATGTAGGGTGCCTGGCATGTCGTATTTGCTGAGGGAAAGTAATGGGGCGCAGCGATATCGTAATTAGCAGATGGGATGGCTTTTTATGTGTGTGCTGTCAGGTCACGTCGTAAATTTTATTATATTTATTATCATTATCAATGAGGTAATGGTGAGAGTAAGTGAAGAATTAGAAGGAATAGTTAAGGTCAACTTCAGATTCCGTCGGTAAATATGTGAGCCAATCGTGAGGACAATCCTTGCGGCATTCACCTACTCCCTCTGTCAAGGATGCCGGCGACCACCAGCCCTCTGGCTGGGAATCCTTTAAGGAAGGAGTCGGCGCCTCACGGGAGATCTCTCTTTTGAATGTCGTTCCAGTGAGTCACCGTCTCCCTTTCTCAGACGATCATCAATTTCCCTTGCTTGCCAAGAGACTGGCGCAGCCCGAGACGAGGGCTTTCTGACTCGCGGCATTGATCACACTGACCTAACCGCCCTCGGATTCCTAGCTGTCTCAGCTTTCGTCTGCTGAAACTCCTCTATTTCCTATTATATTTGTTTCTCGTTTTGCTTTTCCTTTTCTTCTAGAATCACACACACACACACGCACAGAAGGAGGCAGAGACGATGCCCTCGAGGCAGCGCCACAGGTGGGAGTTGTGGAGGCGGCGGTCAGGCCCATCTGTGAGCCTTCCTTCTTCGGCGGTCAGCGGCCGGGGTGATTGTTCCGTCGCGTCATTGTAATTTCTGATCGTGACGTCATTCGGAGGGAGCGTGGCAAGTTGGTTTCACGTCGAGCCGCCAGCCTGACTTTGCTCCTCGCTGCGCTTGCGGAAAGTTCATCTGTTAGTTTTTTCTGCTCTGACATAGAAGTTACGTCGTGAGCTTCGTTATTATGTTTTCTGGAAGTTGCATGTTTAAAGGCTGCTTTCGCAGTCTTTAAAGCTGATAACATTATTAACTGAGATAGGACTTAATTACATTAATATTTACATTTCCTTATTAATGGCATGGCAATATATTGGCTGGCTGGCTGGCTGGCTGGCTGGAGAGGCTGGCTGGCTGGCTGGGCAGGGTGGCTGGCTGGCTGGCTTGACGCTGGCTGGCTGGTGGCTGGCTGGCTGGCTGGGTTGACAGGGCTGGTTGACATGGGCTGGCTGGCTGGCTGGTTGACATGACTGGCTGGTGACAGGCTGGCTGGCTGCTGGTTGGCAGTGGCTGGCTGCAACAGGGCTGGTGGCTGGCTGGCTGGTTGACAGGGCTGGCTGGCTGGCTGGTGGTTGACAGGCTGGCTGGCTGGCTGGCTGTTGACAGCTGGCTGGTTGCCTGGCTGGGCTGGTTGACAGCTGGCTGGCTGGCTGGCTGGCTGGCTGGCTGGTTGACAGGGTGGCTGGCTGGCTGGGCTGGCTTGACAGGGTGGCTGGCTGGCTGGCTGGCTGGTTGACATGGCTGGCTGGGCTGGCTGGCTGGCTGGTTGACAGGGTGGCTGGCTGGCTGGCTGGCTGGCTGGCTGCTGGCTGGTTGACAGGTGGCTGGCTGGCTGGCTGGCTGGCTGGTTGACAGGGTGGCTGGCTGGCTGGCTGGCTGGTTGACAGGGTGGCTGGCTGGCTGGGCTGGCTGGTGACAGGGTGGCTGGCTGGCTGGCTGGCTGGTTGACAGGCTGGCTGCTGGCTGGCTTGGCTGGCTGGCTGGCTTTGACAGGGTGGCTGGCTGGCTGGCTGGCTGGTTGACAGGGTGGCTGGCTGGCTGGCTGGCTGGTTGACACTGGCTGGCTGGCTGGCTGGCTGGACAGGGTGGCTGGCTGGCTGGTGGCTGGTTGACAGGGCTGGCTGGGTTGACAGGGTGGCTGGCTGGCTGGCTGGCTGGCTGGTTGACAGGGTGGCTGCTGGCTGGCTGGCTGGTTGACAGGGGCTGGCTGGCTGGCTTGGCTGGCTGGCTGGCTGGTTGACAGGGTGGCTGGCTGGCTGGCTGGCTGGTTGACAGGGTGGCTGGCTGGCTGGCTGGTTGACAGTGGCTTTGGCTGGCTGGCTGGTTGACAGGGTGGCTGGCTGGCTGGTTGACAGGGTGGCTGGCTGGCTGGTTGACAGGGTGGCTGGCTGGCTGGCTGGCTGGCAGGGTGGCTGGCTGGCTGGTTGACAGGTGGGCTGGCTGGCTGGTTGACAGGTTGGCTGGCTGGCTGGTTGACAGGGTGGCTGGCTGGCTGGTTGACAGGGTGGCTGGCTGGCTGGTTGACAGGGCTGGCTGGCTGGTTGACAGGTGGCTGGCTGGCTTGGTTGACAGGGTGGCTGGCTGGCTGGTTGACAGGTGGCTGGCTGGCTGGTTGACAGGGTGGCTGTCTGGCTGGTTGACAGCTGGTTGGACAGGGTGGCTGGCTGGCTGGTTGACAGGTGGCTGCTGGCTGGCTTTGACAGGGTGGCTGGCTGGCTGGTTGACAGGGTGGCTGGCTGGCTGGGTTGACAGGGTGGCTGGCTGGCTGGTTGACAGGGTGGCTGGCTGGCTGGTTGACAGGGTGGCTGGCTGGCTGGTTGACAGGTGGCTGGCAGGCTGGTTGACAGGGTGGCTGGCTGGCTGGTTGACAGGGTGGCTGGCTGGCTGGTTGACATGGTTGACAGGGTGGCTGGCTGGTTGACAGGGTGGCTTGGTGACTGGCTGGCTGGCTGGTTGACTGGCTGGTTGACAGGGTGGCTG